TTCCCTAGCTGAGGTTAATCAAGCTCTTGTGAACAATGCTCTGCAGTCTGCTCACGTAATAGGTACGAAGGGTTCACAAGGAAAAGATGAAGCCAAATTTGATGGGAGCACAGAACAAAGTTTGACACATTACATAAACCTGCCACACTGTGCTCCCTGCATGCGCTGGGGGCTTCCAGCTGAAGTGCTCGTGCTGAGGCACTGCCTGTGCTGGGGGGGATGGACCTGCCTCTGTGACCTGCTCTCACTTCGGCTTAACTATCCCCATTTCACTGTCCCCTCTCTGAAAGAGGGGGGGTGTGTGACCTTCTCTAGCTGTCTTGGAAGAGAAATCTCATTTGTGCCCATCGTAAGGAAACCAAGGCTGAACTTCCACTGGGAAACATGAAGCTGGGGTGTGCCTTCCACAATGAATTATGCACCTACCCCCAAATTACTGCAGTGGGTATTGATATCTGTAGGAAGGATTACCCTGTAAATCAGACTGGTCAATTAAATCGAGTTGTACTTGTCTTTGGCACTGCTTTCTCCTCCTGCTCTCTAGCTTTAATCAATCCCTTCTTCCTGCCACAAGCTCCTCTTTGCAGGCTGTGGTTGTGTGAGCCCCTGTGAGAGTCAAACCCTGCCGCGATGCTGCGGAGGCAGTAAGATACTGACCACAAGGAGGGCAATCTCCTGACTGCGAGTGCACAATGGCAGTAGAATTAAAAGCTATTTAATGGCTTACACAGCACGTGAGGAGGGAATTTCCCCTCCATCAGAGGACCTGGTCCCAGGTAGTTTGTTCCCATTAGCTTTGTGTGCAGCCATCCTCACCCATTTCAGAAACTCCTATTTATTCCTGGGGGTGGGCTGTGAGGATGGATGGGGAGGCCTTATCCAAGGGCTCTGATTTTAGGAGGGCACATTTTTGCGAGGGCTGTGGTTTACTCTATCCTGGGTCACACTCTGCTTCTCATGCATAAAACAAATCAGCGGTAAAACCCAAGCGGAGAAAGAGCCGTTTCCAGCCATGAGTCACTGCATCCCTCTTAGGAGCTGACAGTATGAAAGATGCCAACCAGAGAATGATCTGACACAAGTTCCTCATTGCTTATGTAGGTTATGGGTCCTTCTGGTTATCAAAGCCCTGCGCATTCCCATGCAAAGCAGTTTCAAGTGACTCAGGGAGGAATTCCACGCTCGGGTCCCGGGCTCTGGAGCGCAGCTCCCGAGGTTGGCGGGGACTGGCTGTGGGTCTCGGGGTGAAGTGGAATTTCCCCCTCAGTCCCTTCCTGTCTCTGTTGATTTTACAGGGCAGCTCACAGGTACAAGAAAGTCATCAGTGAAGGACCCATTGGAAGCCTTTGGTGCATGAGAGCATCACATCCCGAGCCTGCGCTTCTGATATCAGAAATAAATCTAAGCCCTGCTGTGGCTGGATGGCACTGCCCGTGAGCCCCTGCCTGTGAGCTTTGCTATCACTGCTGGACACAGCAGCTTGGGATGAGCCTGCCTGTAGGAGCAGGGAAATGGGGTCTGCACAGCACAGCCTGGAAATGGGATGAGGGATGGATCCTATCAACCTCCCCAACACCACCTCAGCCACTTGCTTCCTACCACAAGCTTCCTAGGATAGGCCACATCGGTACAAGATTCCCCAGGGGCTGCCATGGGGAGAGGGGAGCTGTAAGCTCTGTGACAGCAGTTCAGGTAACTCCTCCTTGCCCAAACACATCTGTGCTGGGGAACTGGGCACATTCCTGTGGGATTCTTCAGCAGTGTCTGTCTCCCGAGCCGGGCAGAGATGTTTGATTCATCCCTGCCAGCCCCATGAAGCCGCAGTGTGGGATCAGAGGGGGAGGACTGGAGCTGAAAGCATTGCTGGGGAAATGCTATTTTTGCTCGATGTATTTAGTGGAACATCGGTGGCATTTTGGTGCCTTGTTCCACCTCAAGCCCAGTCCCACTGGCGAGGGCGCTTCCAAACAGCTAATAACAGGAGATGGGAACCCTCCCGCAGCCACTCGGCTCTTCTGCTCTCACCAGTTTGCTCCCAGGGGCTTAAACGTGTGCTGCTGAAAGGCCACAGCAGGAGCGGGTTAGAAATTCAGCTCTGGAGGTTGGGCTCAGGAGCCAAACTGACACCCACTGCAATCCCAGGAGCGATAAATTAGGCACAGAGTGTATTGTGCAGCATCTTGCCTACTGCACGGCTCTGTGGGTAGGCTGAACCTGTTCCCTACCCAGAAAAGAAAACACAGGCTGTGCAGGACTCTAAATCCATCCCTTTCTGGATTTCACCACTGAGGGTCACTGAGCAAAGCAGACAGGGCTGTTTAGACTATGAAAAGGAATGTTTTCTTTCCTTGAACACACCACATCTGAAAGCTAAAGTGCTTTTTCTAGCATATATCCTGTCAATTGCTGGAATTCATCCTTTGTGTTCAGCTGTCTGCTAGCCAAGGAGACT